TAAGGGCACATCTGTCCAGAAATCCAGTTGGAATGTCTTCTTGGGCATCTTTCCTGGAAGTTTGGCGCAATTTCATTTTTTGGTCAAAATTGAAAAAATTGCAAAGGGTTAGCCTTACATTTTTCATCAAATTTGGCCAAAAAATGACTTTTCTCCAAACGACCAGAAATGACTTTTGATGCAGAGTACCGTACAATATTCAGACTGCCATTATTTCAAAGATTTTGGGCACAAATAATCGATTTATTGAGAAAAAAATCATATTTGTTACTGATTTTGACCCAAATTTTTGACGCATCATTCCTGTCTAAGGGCACATCTGTCCAGAAATCGAGTTTGAATGTCTTGTAGGGTCCCTTAGGCATCTTTCCTGGAAGTTTGGCGCAATTTCATTTTTTGTCAAAAATTGAAAAAATGTCAAGGGGGTTAGCCTTACACTTTTCATCAAATTTGGCCAAAAAAATGACTTTTCTCCAAACGACGCAGATTGACTTTTGATGCAAGGAGAGTACCATACATTATTCAGAAGATTCGAAGATTTGGGCACAAATAATCGATTTATTGAGAAAAAAATATCTTATTTCACTGATTTTGACCCAAATTTTTAACGCATTGTTCCTGTGTAATGGCACATCTGGCCAGAAATCGAGTTGGAATTTTTTCTACGGTCCCTAAGGCATCTTTCCTGGAATTTTGGTGCAATTTAAATTTTTGGCCATATTTGAAAAAATTGCAAGAGGTTAGCCTTACATTTTTCATCAAATTTGGCCCAAAAAACCGATGCAGAAATGACTTTTAATGCAAGGAGAGTATCATACAATATTCAGTCTGCCATTCTTTCTAAGATTAGGGCACAAATAATCGGTTTATTGAGAAAAAATCTGATTTTGCACTGATTTAGACCCACATTTTCGACTCATTGCTTCTGTCTAACGGCACATCTGTCCAGAAATCGAGTTGGAATGTTACATTTTCAATCAAGTTTGGCCCAAAAAATGACTTTTCTTAAAACTTCACAGAAATGACTCTTGATGGAAGGGGAGTATCATGCAATATTGAGACAGCTATAACTTCGAATATTTTTGAGGAAAACAATAATAATTTTGCCCCAAAATATTATTGACACATTTTTTCTTTTGAAAGGCTTATCGTCCAGAAATTGACTTGGAATAAAACACATCAGCTTGAATGAGGACAAAAATAAGTATATTTTTGGACTGATCTTAAATTCAGAGTTTGTTCCTCAAAAACAACGGCCCTAAAAATGACCAAATAATACTCATATGTATAATATAAAAATGAAAATCTTTAATTGATATTCATCAGGGACTTTTGTTTTGTTACATTACACAGAACCTCCAAATACATCTACATGTTTATGTACATGACATTTTGCAATTTTCCACATTTCATTTTTCTTTAAGCACTTGCATGCTAAACATACATTTTCCAAAAGTTCAAACATCATTAATTGCAAGAATTTAGCTTAAAGGGAATAGACAACATTTGCAAACATCCAAAAACAAAACTACCAAATCTTTATGAATTACCAATACTGGACTGTTTGTGAATGACAGTCTAAAGCATCCTGAAAAATCATGGCACCCGGTGTGCTGTCATTTTCAATAAAAGTGGTATTTCGTGTAAATTTCCAACGATGGTCAGGCGACCAGTGCTGGAAATTCTTATTTGTTTTCAAATACTGCCCCCAAGTGAGTACGCAGCTTGTTTGCAATTGATTCCACGCATATGATTTGGTACAAGCCAGCTAGACTAGGTCCCAGCTTTTACAACTCCCCCGATGTCTATAAATTGCTCGGTTTCATCTGAAGTGGGGTCAGGAAACTAGACTGCAGGAACATGATTATTTGTCTTGGTTTTTCCAGCATCTATAACACCCCCCCCCCCCCCCCCGAGAAAAAAAATCCATCCATTTCTGAAAATTACAGCAAAAGCAGATGTAGTACAAGGCCGGAGCCAGAACATATTTTGAGGGGGTCCAAAAAAAAATTTGGTCCCCCAAAAAAGTGGGTCAAAGAAATTACGGCGTGGGGTTCGGGGCCCGCTTAAGGGCCCCCCAAAAATTTTGGATTCTAGATGCTCTGTGGTGCGATCTGAGGCAATTTCTGACCACTTTAACCAATGTTTTTTTGAGGAAAAGATGGTGGTGTACTCATTGCCTGCCTTTATTGCGATGTCACATAAAAAAATTAAAAAATTGGCTTCGTTTTTGGGGGGGGGGCATGGCCCCCTTTGGCCCCCCCCCCCCCCCTGGATCCGCCCTTGATGTAGTACAGTCCCTTTAAACATAGTGGTCACCATTTTACAAAAAAAAAAAAACTGTTTTCATCGTGAGCTGGTTTGGTCCTAATCATCGGAGGAAATGATGATTATTCCTCTAAAATGTGAATATGATCGGACTGTACACAATCTCAACAGTACATACAAAACATTTGTTTGGTTAATTTCTAGAGAACACCAGAAATGAAGCAACGTTACTCCCTTTTTTTCTTCTTTTCATTTTTTTCTTTTGAAATACTAAATTTTATTGTATTTTCACAGGGGGCCAAACAGTTTCTTATTGTACTCGGCTGAAATGTTTACATCGTGTTTTTAATGCCCGGTTTGTGGCATTAGTTCAAGTTTCAACCAGGGGGCCTAAAGCAATGCTCGAATGGTTTCAAATTCTAAAATACACCTGTTAGCTGTAACTACACTAAAAAAGATTTTCATGTTTTAACATCAAATTGCATTTTACCACCTTACCCTAGAACATTTGACGAATGTTTACACAAAGAGTAAAACACAATGATCTTTAATGAATGACAAAAATATCCCAACAACAGAATAGAGATGATTTTCTGTGGGAAAAAACACTTACCAAAAGAAAAAGTCACCTTTTTGGATTGAAAAAAGTTCATGAGCTCAAAACCAAAGACATCTTTACAACAGTCAACACAGGATAAAAAGCAATCTGTCACAAAGATAAAAACATTATTCCCAGAACTCTAACTCTCTTGGCATTTCTCTCAGGAATCATCTCAAAAAAATATCCGTGACAAGTTGCGGAAATTCGGGCGATTCACAATTCAGTGCGCTACCAAGAGTTTGCCATGGCGAGTCCATTTTTCAAGTTTACGGTCAACAAAACATGGCCCATTTGAATGAGTGTAGGTAGACAACTTGAGCTAATTTGTTATAGATTGGGCATAGCATTCTACCGTCTTTACAAAAAACACCATAGTGATAAAAAGACAAGAAAGTGGCAAGCATATATTTGAATCATACACCAATGAAACTACTGACCGGAAAAACCTACGATTTCAAATGTCCCGCGCTGCAAATTTGTCGACCATCTCCCACAATACACTGGGAAAAATGAACTCTCCGTAGCAAACTCTTGGTGGCGCACTGCATTGTGAATCACCCGAATTGGCCCACTGTATCGAGAATTTTTTACCAGGATCTGAAAAATGTCCCCAAATGAAGTTATCGGTTTGCAAACAACGATAATAAATTCACTGCAGGAGGATTCTAAGGAAATTGTTCAGGAAACTTTTCCTAAACTTTTCCTTGATAGTCACTGAGATGACTCCTAAGGAACCTTCATGAAACCTTTGCAGGAAACCAATGACAAATTTTCTGCACTTCAAACTTGTAAGAGACATCGATCTCCATGTACAGTAACAGTGGGTGGGCTCTAGCTTCCCCACTCCTACAAAATCCTCCAAAATCTTTTGGCTGGATTTGGTAGGATTGGAGTTGCGGTTGAGGTTTAATTACCTTCCAAAATCCTTCAAATGTAGGTTATTATGTTTGCGGTCATCTGAGCAAGAGCCATGTTAGCATTTTCAAAATTTGCAGCTCCTACCCTAAAATGTTATGCAAATGTGACACAATTTATGCATGTTGACAACTTTTTGCAAATGTGTGACACATAAACGCAAATGTGTGAAAACATTAGCGCAGATTTGTTAAAATACTTTATGCGTGTATGTGAAACAATATGCAAATGTGTGACACACTTCGCAAATGTGTGACACATTTTATGCAAATGTGCGACACACTTTATGCAAAGGTGACACACTTTATGCAAATGTGTAACACACCTTATAAAAATGTTGACACACTTTATGCAAATGTGTAACACAAATGTTGACACACTTTATGCAAATGTTGACACACTTTGTATAAAAGTGTGACACACTTAGTACACACAAACTCTCAAATTTGTATCCTTGTGGAGACATTTCTTTGTTCTCGTGTAGTAAAGTTTTCAATGTTGAAAGTGAAGTTTCAAAATGCTCTTATTTTAACCAGAATTAATTTCCTTGGCTGAAATTCGGACTTAATATCCCTTTTCTAAAACTCTTCCATTTGCGACAGATCAACCCACATTGGAAATTCCTTATTTTTGAGTAAAATCCATATATCTATTTCGTGAAAACCTTGTGGAGACCTATTCATCTATAGAAATTGCCTTGTGGAGACCTTTACAATGTTTTGTTCCCTATTGTGTGCGTGTCTCCACAAGGATACAAATTTGAGCACAAATTTGTGACACACTTTATGCACATGTGTGACAATTTGCATCATGGGAAGGGCTAATGGTTTACATCCAGACTTACCATACATGTACAATTCAAGAATTGAATAGTTCTCAAGGAACACGTTTTTTGGGGAAACTATTTCCAAAGAAGAAAATTGACTTTCTGTTATCTCAAAAAAAACCACCAATACAGCAGCATGGATAATGCAGTACACAATATGCAGAACATGGATGTATGCGCATTCCATTTTTGGAACAATTCACCGTAGAGTGCTATGAACATTATGAGAATTTCAGCCATGTGGATTTTGGACAAAAAGGACTCAAAGAAATTCCAGTTGACTTTTTGTTATCCCAGATTTTGATTCACTGATCGTTTCAAAGATAACTTGCTAGCCAAGATCCCCGTAGCAGGTATCACAATATGACGAGCATCGGCTGGGTGTTTTTCAGGATGCCATAATTTGGCCCATTGTTTAAAACACGGTTTGGTGTGCAAATTCTGTACCAGTTTTACAAAAGTCGAATTTTTTTTAGCCTGGTTATGATCTGCGTAAGAGTTAACAAGAATGAGCACATTAGAAGTTCAGATCTACACAACATATGGTCTTCATTTTAGTCTCGACAGAACACTTGAGAACCAATCTGCAGAGTTCATATTTCAACATTACTGTACTTTTGTTATTAAAACGAAAACTATTCACAGAAATTCAATTTCAAAATTTCACTTGTCCACAACACACTCCTGTCAACTATATTCCAACAAGAAAAATTATTATTAGACAATTGTTGAAGTTATCATTTTGTTTTTAACTTGATTGGGTAATCTTACTCAGAACTTCCTGCGGTCACTTGCTCGTGTTCATGAACAGACCCCGTTCCGTTTTCCTCAATATAAGCTGTGTCTCGAGGATCGGTTGGTTTGGTTGGTACCCCGCTATTGTTGTCCCCGTCGCCAGTTGGCATCTGCGACATAACAATCTTCAACGGAGGTACGTCGCTGACCGTCTCACCGATGTTGTTGGCAGGACTTGCTGGGGAGCTGTTAACAGGAGACGAGCTCGGGTGGGGCGACTCGGGCGATTGGTTCGTCGGTGAGTGATTGGTTGTCGGGGATGCAGTTTGATTGTTTGGGGGCGGAGTTTGATTGTTTGGGAGCTGGGCTTGGTTGCCACGGGGCGGGGTTTGGTTGCCAAGGGGCGGGGCCTCATTGGCCATGTAGTCTTCCTCATCGCTACTACCCGTGTCGTAATCAACAACCGACAGACTGCAGTTATGGGGAAGCTTCTTGGCAGTTACCTTAACCTCCGGAAAATTAGTTACCTCAGGAGCCTGGTTCGAGATTTGGACCTCGGGTTCTACCTTACTACAAGTCACCTGGCCCAGTTGGGTACTGTTACTGACCCCTTCAGTATGGGAGGACGTTATGGCATTGTCTTGGTTACTACCGACTGAGGGACCTATCGCATAAGTATCAGCGGGGGAACCTTCTGTCCCCTGCCCGCTGGATGAGTCAACTACCCCTACATCGCTATCGTTACTATTACCCGAGGGTTCAAATGAGAATTTAGGTTCTGAGGTTGATTTGTAAGGGTCTACTAGGGTTTGGTCAAGGCCCTGGGGTCGAGTTGAGGGGTCAGCGGACCCTTGATCTGGGGTCATGGTGCTGAAACCCTCATCGGAGTCATCCCCCAGTTGGGGCTTAGGTGCCTCGCCTGAGGCTTTTGGGATAGTCAACTCACCGGCCGGTTTGGTTTGTTGGATGTCTTGGAGGTAGGACTCACTCTCTGTGCTGGAGTCGCTGTCGAACCTTGAGGGGTCGATTTCCATCTCCTCTTCGTCTTCTTGCTGCCAACGCTGCTGCTGCTTTTGTAGTCCTTGTTGTAACTGCTGCTGCTGCTGTTGCACCTGCTGTTCCCGTTGCCACTGCTGCTGTTGTTCCTGTTGCAGCTTCTGCTGTTCCTGTTGTAACTGCTGCTGGTGCCGTTGCAGCTGCTGCTCCTGTTGCAACTGCTGCAGTTGCTCCTGTTGTAGCTGCTGTTCCCGTTGCAACTTCTGCTGTTGGTCCTGTTGCAGCTTCTGCTGTTCCTGTTGCACTTGTCGCCGTTGCTCTTGTTGCAGCTGCCACTGACGTTCATCCCGCTGCTGCTCCAAACCCCACACCTGTTGCTCAGGCGAGGCCTCCTCCACGTCCCTAGTTACCTGATCAGATGTCTCCTCTGCCATCTCTGGTTGGCGTTGCTCGGGTATCTCTGCATCCTCTGAGATGAACGTCCTATCCTCCTTCCCGGACATCTTTGTAGTCCTTTCCTTTTCTTGCCCTGCCTCCTCCATGGTAGTCCTTCTTTGCTTTTCCTCTGTTGGAGACCCTGAGGCCTCCTCTGCCGTCCTTTGGTCTCCAAGGCCCTCATCTTCGGCCCCTGGACTAATCTCTTTCTCTGCTGTCCTAGACAGGAGCCTCTGGTCCTGACCCTCCCCGGCAGCTGAAGCAGCCGCCATCTCCTCGCTAGGAGTTCTGTTACCTACCACCAGGCCCTCTGGGCTCTTCGGAGCAGGGCTGGAGGGGGTAGGGGCAGGACCTGCTTCTGATGGTTCTGATGCGGGCGACTCCGGCTGCCGCTCCTCGTAGCCAGTCAAAGTCCTATCTTCTGGCTCTGGCTCTTGTGGGACCATCTCTTCCATCTGTGGCTCAGGAGTTTGTCGGCCCTGAACTGCTTGTTCTGGCATCCTTGCTTCAGTCTGCTTGGCATTGGCTCTGACTGCGGCTAGGTCGTCCTTTGCCTCTTTCAGCTGCTGTTGCAGGGCACAGATGGTGCTTTGCATGCCCTCCACTTCCTCATCAAGTTGAATCACAAATTCGTTCAGCTCTGCAAGGAAGCAGAGACAACACAGGTTAATCCATCAGCACCTGTTTATCATTGTATAACACTGTATTTATTACATAATGAATATTTCTGTTCATCAAATTTGTGAATACTTGATGACAGGATTAAATACTCATGAAGGATCCTCAAAACCCTCCTGTTTCAATAAAACTCTAGACAGGTTATCCATCTATCAAGCTGTACGATGGTGCTTCTGGGTGCTATGTTTCTTACCGTCTTGGCTAGCTTTGAGCTCCTCGCTGTACTTCTTCTGCAGTGCCAGCTCAGCCTCCAGCTGGGCGGTGCGGCCCGTCGACACCTGCTTGCCCAGCTCCTGGTTCTCCTGGATCAAGGTGCGACACTTGGACATCAGACGCTTGCCAGTTTGACTGCGAACCAAGAAGAAAGAAAAACGGCCATTGGGTAAGCTTCCTCTGGTCACCACATACTGTTCAAAATGATCCAGTGGTCGCTTGATCCAGTGGTCTCGTTTGTGTCTTAAGACCTGCGAAAAACAAGGCTGTTACTCATTATTCACTTTGTACCTTACGGATACGGTATAAGTCATTTAGGCAAACCCTTCTTTCCAATATGGGCTACCACCTCATTTCCATCTTTTCCCTCATTTTCCTTCTCATCTCGTATGCCAAACCCTCCATCTTATGACACAACCTTTAAATAAACTGCACCCCATCTCTTAGGCCAAAAAAAAAAAGGCTCCGGTTTCTGGTATGGAGCTTGCCCAAAAAATGGTGCGGCGACACAGCTTTTTTTTTTTTACCTGATGTTTTTGCTTCAAATGTCGGCTGATGACTGCAAATGGTGCCCGACTAAACTTAGTGCAAATATATGGGAGGCCAGAGAGGCCACATAAAGCTTATTCTCGACCATAACCCAATCTAAAAACACGTTAAAATTGTGCAGCAACAGGATTCCAGTCAAACCAGTGAGTTTGGTGGTTTTGAGACATCATCTTTCATTGAAAAAAAAACTTTTTCATTTTGCCGACGCGCATGGCTACGGCGACAGAAACCGGAGACTTTTTTTTTGGCCTTAAGCCACACCCTATATCTTGTACCACACCCTCTATGTTCTGCCACATCCTTTATGTTGTGGCACATCCTCTATATGTGCCACACCCTCGTTCTTTAGCCACACCTTTATCTTATATCACACCCTCTATTTTGTGCCAACCCTCTCTTAGGCCACACCCTATATCTTGTGACACACCCTCTAACTTGTGACACACACTCTATCTTGTGACACACCCTTCATCTTGTGACACACCCTCTATCTTGTGACACCCTCTATCTTGTGACACACCCTCTATCTTGTGACACCCTCTATCTTGTGACACACCCTCTAACTTGTGACACGCACTCTATCTTGTGACACGCACTCTATCTTGTGACACACCCTCTATCTTGTGACATACTCTGTATCTTGTGACACACCCTTTATCTTGTGCCACACCTATCTTATGCCACACCCTCTATCTTGTGCCACACCCTCTATCTTGTGACACACCCTCTATCTTGCAACACACTCTGTATCTTGTGACACACCCTTTATCTTGTGCCACACCTATCTTGTGCCACACCCTCTATCTTGTGACACACCCTCTATCTTGTGCCCCACCCTCTTTTCTCTGCCACACCCTCTCCCATGTGCCACAACCCCCTCTCTTGGGCAACACCCTCTCTCTCATTTATGCCACACCCTCTCTCAGCTCCAGTGTCCCGCCCACCTGTCTGGAGTGAACTTCCAAGCAGCCATGTCGTCGGTGGCCTGCTGCAGCTTCTTGCTCTTCTCATCCAGCTGATTGCGCATCCGCTGGAACAGGATGTTCAGGGCGGGATCAAGGAGGGCGGAGCGCAGCTGGGAGGCGCCTGGGGTGTTCCCTTTGGTGGTTTCGCCCAGCTGGGTCTGCAAAGAGAAGGAAGCATTGGGATCATTTTTAATAAAGTGGAGTCTTTTCTGACTGTCAATCAGAAATCGTACTCTGCCAATCACTGCATGACGTTTCGGTCGGGTGACCACGATAGCTCGGTCAAATTTGGTTACAAGTGCAAACCACCAAAATGAACACAATCCAAAGGTGGTTTATGTCTGATCGACAAGTTAAATCAAATCTAGTCTTAAAATTTGTTCGGTATTTTGACCGAGAAAATTCTGAGCATACCTCACATGCCCTTTATTTCACCCTAACTTCCTAGCGTCTTTTGCTAGGAACTGGACAAGTCCATCCAAATCCATCAATCACTGTGCGACCAATACAAAACTGTACATGGCATAATGGAATCCACCACTGACGCACTGGTTGACATTCATGGACTTGCTACACATGGCTTTTATCAAGATAGCAGTACAGGAAGCTAGGCAAAATCAATCGGATACCCCTAGCACCGCCTCGAGCCATTAGGCCCAAGTCCGTCATACTCCACCAATATTTAGTCACGCCAGGCCTCCTGGACCAAGTTCCCCAAAATCCACAAAAATGGGGGATGGATTTTGATGGAGTTGGGTGGTTAGGGTTAAGCTAATGCGAGTGTTTGAGGCATGCTTGGGATTTGTCAGACCGAGTGCCAAGATTCCCTGGACTAGATTTGATTCATCTTGTTGATAGCACCATCTAGCTCCACTGCAGCTTGGGTCTGGGTGCAAGATGAGAAGAAAATGCAGTTCCAGTCTTTGGATTAAATCTGCGGCAATACTCACCGCTATCTCTTGGAGCTCCTGTTCCTTCCTAGTCAGCTGCATCAGTAGCACCTTCTCTTTGCGACTGGCCTCGGCCTGCTGCTGCTTCAGACGTTCCTCAAGCTCACTCTGGCCCCCTGAATTTTGACAATGGACAAAACAGTACCTATGTTAAAATGGATCGTATCTTTGTAACATTCTGCCTTTGCGAAAACTGAGGAAGCACATGAAGATAGAAGTGGAACCACCGTATTTGCAGGATATATGGGTTCCGCGCACAAGTACCCCCTCAGCGGTAAGAAAGGGAGAGTTGGGGGAGACCACTAGGAGGGACAATTGAACACATCACTGACGACCCCTGAAGCTCACGTGAAGACGCCATGCCTTTGTGCACATTCGGAATAAAACACGTCATGCATACTTTGTGCTATATGTGCGCGAAGCAGTACGCGCAGGCGGAGTGTCCTATCCACTGGATTCTCGAAAGTAGTCAAACAGCGCCCTCTCATTCGCGCACGGAGCTCATACACGGTAAACAAGAAAAATATACATTATTGGTGCCATTGTCTTATGTGTCAGTTTATTTTGGAGGATGCAAAAAAAGGTGATTTTTAGGCCAAAAAAAAAAATAAGTCGGTCTCTGGTCAGCGCGCACGTCGATTTTAACCATGCGCGTCAATCTTTTTTTTTCCCAAAATGTTTCGCTGTAGCTCCAACAGCTCCCTCTATTGCCACACCTCCTCAATTTTTTTATCAAAGAGCACCAAGGAATGGGAAATTGCACCAAGGCAAATGATCGAGAGCACCAAGGCAAATTATGGAGGACACCAATGTACATGAGGACACCAAAAAAGCAAAATAGTACCCCACCTTGTCTGTACAATCCAAGCTTGAAGAAAAAAAAAAAAAAAAAAAAAAAAAAAAGCCGCGTCCCCGCGTCAATTCCGGAACTTCGGTCTGACCAGAGACCGAATATTTTTTTTTTTTGGCCTTATATATCTGTACAGATGATTTCACAGTTTAGTAGTTTATGACAAGACAAGGCAAGCTCAATAGTAAAAGCATGGTGAAATGACTCCAAAAACCCTAACCCCTAGGCCTTTTTGGCAAGGAACATCCTCAATCCTGCAAAATCCTCCAATTGCCATCATAGAAAAATTGGATTCAGCCTCAATCCTCCAAAATCATCCGTTACTTCTTGATTGTGCAATGGAAGGTGACCATTGCGTCAATCCTTCAAAATCTTCCATCACTGGTTGCACTAACAGTCCTGAATCCTCCAATTTTGATATGCTTTGCACACCCCCTAGGGAGTTTTAATGGGTTGAGGCAGCGCCGATGACATGCAGAAGCAGTCTTGTATCCTCGATCCTGATTGGTCGATCCATGGCAACAACAGTGTGATATGAGGCTGTATTGCACGGTCCATATCGCACCCTGCGTATTGCGCTATTCCAAGATGCGAGCGACATTCCAGCTGCATGCGCTAAACTGCTAAAAGGTTTGTGTAAAGCGATGGTCCAACTTTACTGCGCGTCAAGTTTGCTTGAAGATAAATTCATTATCACGCTCACGCTCGTGGAACACGGAAAATGTAGTGCGTCTGGGTCCCACATATTCAGCCTTGTGGTATGTGGGACACAGACGCACTACATTATTCCGTGGCATGGCTGAACATTAACAATGCTGGTACAGCCTACAAACTCGACACGATGCATCCTCCAAAATCAACCGACACTTTCTTTGCCATTCAGCCTAAATCCTCCAATATCCTCCAAAACCGCCTGGAAGATTTGGGAGGATGGAGGAGGGTTAGGAATAAACTTTCATTTACCACTAGTGCACGCACTGCCGTCCAGTTTGGTGAGAGACGCGATGTAGGAGTCGTGCTTCTTATTTTCGCCCATCAGTTCCTCCTTGGTTATTTCCACCAAGCCGTCACCTCCAAGACGCATCTTAAAAAAAATAAGGTCAGGGTGGTGAGTCAACAAGATCAAGATGGTGATGAACAAATTTGGAAAAGAGTCGAGGCATTCCTGAGGTCAAAATGGTTAGGGCTGGGAAGGGGGGGGGGCCTTGGGGGAAACTGACTCTAAAATATCAGTACTTGGTGAAAACTACTTGAAAGGTATGAAATCAATGTGAATGGTTACAGTGGAAGACAGATCACAATTGTGAAAATTATTTTGAAGATTTGTGAAAATTATTTTGAAGATATTCCGAAGGTTGACATGGGGACTTCAAAGCAGTATGGAGGTGAAATACTAAAAACTACACAGGTAAGACTGTCATAACGGTGAAATGTAATAATAATGAGATGTCATAGAGGTGAAAATTACTACAATTTTAGAATAGAATTATTAGAAGTACATGTAGGACATTTAGAAGGCCAAACAGAGTTCAAAATGGCAAAATAATGAAAATTACACTGCAATGACATTACAGGTCAGAGTTGGTTCCAAAAACAAAACAACTCGAATCATATTTTCATCACGGCTTTCTGTCAGAATTTGTTCTCGTCTTCAAAAAGAATGCATTTCAATAGAATCTCATTCATACCAAAATTAGTCTTTGTACAATGGTATTCTGGAAAAGTACCAAACAGAAATATTTTAAATTTCAACGGTTCAAGACTGCATGACCACTCTTACATTGTTTAAAACACACAAAAAGGCAACATCTTGATTTTTAGTCTTACTTTCAACATGTAGCGATGCTATCAATTACTAACATATATTATATTTCACGAGAAAAGTTCAATTTTGCAGGGAAAAAACACAGGATTTCAGCTTACTCGTTTGGCAGGAGGATCGTCAGACATTATTGGTGTCCTGGATCAAGACAAAGAAAAATACAAAGATGTGAGTATTGAAGAAAACTTTTAATAGACATTCTGAACAATTCCAAAGTAATATTTAGTGAACTTTTTAGGCAGTGGATATTAAGCCAGCACAGACAATGCATAGTGACTGTTTTTGTTTTTCACCAAAAAGTCCGGTTTTACATGCCAACATTGTCCTTGTGAATTTGTTTTCACAAGATGAAAACGAGACCACGCAACAGGAAAATAAAGATCCTTATGAATTTGTTTTCACAACATGAAAACGAGACAACGCAACAGGAAAATAAAGATGGTGATCCCTGCGATTTACCGTGAAGACGCAAGGCGCGCAGAATCACATGGCACCAACCGTAAACCGTGTACGAAAATCCTCATTTCTACCACAACATGCACAAGAAACTGCTCTTAATGACAAAAAAGGTCTCATAAACATTGAGAGAAATCTGGTTTAGCTGAAAAAGGTCATTTTGGAATGATAGAAAATACGGTAATCCTTACTTTTAGGACCCCTTTCTTATATAAGGCTAAAAGACTCACCAAAACGGCTGACTAAATGGCACTCAAAAGTGACATTCTGATATTTATTGACACATTTGAACATTTGGCAATGACACCTCTTGAATATCAGCAGGTTTGATTTTGTAGAAAGAGGGCATGGTTTTGATTTATGAGGGGTTAAAGACGACGATGACAAACAGAAAATAAATTTAAAAAGCAAGATGGTGAACTGCCAAAAAAGGTAGGAAAGTCACATTTTCTTTGAAAGTGCTTTCAAAATTATAACTGAGTTAGTTTGAAGAAAAAAGACTTCTTTAGCCTGCAAAAGTCACTTTGGTACTGGACAGTCATCTGCAAAAGTCATTTTTGAACAGAACTCGTACAAAATAGAGGTGTCCTAAAAGTAAGGATTACCAAAAATACCTTTGACTCTAATTTGATCAAAACTAAAGAGGGATCTGTAACTACTACACAATCTCCAGTTTTTGACTCAATAAGGTCTTTCACGGTAATATGCGCCATCTTGTTCATGGGGCAAAGGAACACACGGTGGCACATATTACCATGAAAAAAACCTTATTCAAACATGTCAAATTTGCACATCAGCACAGACTGGTGATCAGGCACCCAGGCCGATCTAGCCCGACTGCGTCTGGCCGTACAGTACTATCGCAAGCTCTGTAGTACGGCCAGACGCCCGATGCTTCCAAAAAGACTGAATTTTGTTGGCCGCCGATGTAGCGATTTTGCTACATCTTTTGATCGCGATTATCTTTTCATCCAGGACACAACTTTCCAAAGTTAAGGTTTGTAGTCGTAGAACAACTCATACCTTTTCGTAAAAACGTTCTTTGGTCTCAATATTTTCATTCATCTGGCCACAAGACGAATTTCAGTCATCAGATTCCACAAATATCGTCCCCCATGCGATCCCCCGTGCGATTTCAAAATGGCGGCCGCGCTGTAATGTATGCAATATGCAGGCGCGCCCGCGCAAATCATGAATATGCATAAACAGTCTGTGACGTATGACCTCGTGACGTATGGCCCCGCACGGGGCCGCACACACGTCCAAAAACACGAGGTCATACGTCACAGACTGTTTATGCATATTCATGATTTGCGCGGGCGCGCCTGCATATTGCATACATTACAGCGCGGCCGCCATTTTGAAATCGCATGGGGGATCGCATGGGGGACGATATTTGTGGAATCTGATGACTGAAATTCGTCTTGTGGCCAGATGAATGAAAATATTGAGACCAAAGAACGTTTTTTCGAAAAGGTATGAGTTGTTCTACGACTACAAACCTTAACTTTGGAAAGTTGTGTCCTGGATGAAAAGATAATCGCGATCAAAAGATGTAGCAAAATCGCTACATCGGCGGCCAACAAAATCCAGTCTTTTTGGAAGCATCGGGCGTCTGGCTGTACTACAGAGCTTGCGATAGTACTGTACGGCCAGACGCAGTCGGGCTAAGGCCGATCATGCCGATTTTGACTGTCAAATCTGCCCTCCCGACATGCCTGATGTTTGAAAGCTGCGTAAATATAAAAATAAGATATTTCCAAGCAAAATACCTTTCTTTTGTTTGTATGGTCTTAAACAATTGGATACAGTAAGTAAACACAAACATGACAAAATTTCAAACATGAATAAAATTCTTCCAAAACAAGATGGCCGACACTGCAGAACGACATACACAATGCAAAATCCAAATTCTACAAAATTCTAACCCTAAATTACTACGTACTGTTGAACAAATGGATCATACTTTCTTACCCTGCTGATGCAGTGTTCTCCTTCAGTCGAGATTTTTTGTCGTGACTTTCACAGAAATGCGCACAAGGGGCTAAATTTAGCGGTTATCTGGGCGACATTTTGCGGAGTCCATGGTTTCGGAATTTTTTAGCATGTGCAGTTAGTTGTACAGTTGTTTACTCCAGTCAGTACATGTGCGCTTGACGCCGAGTGAGGGCGCGCTATAAATTACATACTGGCCAAAAAATAATAATACACGCACATGTAATCCATTAAGATTTTTTTTACCGTTCCTCAAACTTAAAGTTATGTTTCCTTTGCTATTGAGTTTCATCTCGGGAAGCAACAAACACATTTGCTTTTTTCATTTGTTTTCCCCCCTAGTAATATGAGGTTATTATTGGTGGCATGAGTGGCTAGTGCGTAAAGCGCTCGCCTATGATAATCGATGCGGCCCTTGCAACTTGCAGTTCGATTCCTGGCAGCGCCGCAGTGACCATCATAATGTGAGTGGAGTTGTGCATTGATTCTCTCCTGTGCAACGAGGGTTTTTCTCTGGGATCTCCGGTTTTCCTCCCTCCACAAAAATCAAACACTTAATTTCGATCTCTGGATGTGCTCCGTGGTCACACATGGGTTGTAATTCGTCATGAAGAAAAATCATATATTTATTTGTTTTCAAAAAACGGGGAACAAACTACAGAACTTCAGAAGCTTTTCGTATATGCGTTCGCTTTAAGTTTCCACGACCGGTGTAGCATGAATTTAGGTTTTATGAAATACGGACTCATTGGAGGTATTGCGCATGCTCATGCATAGATAATTAGGAGAGGGACCGGTCACGTGAGAGGGTTTAACCAATAAAAGGGGAAAGGAGTCCGATTTTCGTACGAGTCCGATTTTCATATGAATTTGGTGAATTTTGCCAAATCACCCCCCCCCCCCCCTCCACTATCCAACAAGGATTTATGCAACTATAATTCGCGGTGTAGCACGATCGAGGATTTTGTGATGTTGTGAAATGGAAAAGTCCAGATTTTACCTCGAGATAATATTCCTCCCATTCCACGCTGAGCCACTCAATAAATAACAGCTACATGTACTATACATACATGTATACATGTAAAAATCTGGACTTTTCCATTTTACGAGGCGAAGCCGAGTGAACTGGAAAAGTCCAGATTTTACCGAGCGATAATATTCCTCCCATTTCACAATTTAAAGCCACTCAATATCTGTTTTATATAACTGACATATAGATCCTTGTCATTTGATGTATTTGAACCTTTTTTTTTTCAATACAAAACTGGAGGAAAATGTATTTCTCTTCCAAACCACCCTTTCACGAAAATGTTTGAACCCAACGCTGTAGCGCTGGCTCTTTGGAACAATACGCGCTACGCGTAACGCTGAACGCGCACACCAGCATGCATTTGCACACAAATACCGCGTCATGATCCTAACTGTTGAATAGTATACAAATATTGAATGCTTCGAGTGGTGTAGTAAAACTAGCCTCCCGAGGTGATCCATGGACCATTCTATTTTCCCGAGGCGAAGCCGAGGGAAAATAGAATGGTCCATGGATCACCGAGGGAGGCTAGTTTTACTTCACCACGAGATAAAGCATTCAATATTTGTTTTATAACACTTCACGCACAGATTCTGCTTGATTTTAATATTTTACATTATTTAAATCTGAACACAGTTGAAATAAACTTCAATTTCAATACAAAATTGGTGGAAAATGTATTTCTCTCTTAAAAACTAACCCTTCACGAAATGTTTGAACCCAAGTCTGCGGCGCGCTCTCTTTGGAATAATACGCGCTACGCACAACGCGCAACGCGCACACCAGCATGCATTTGCACACAAATACCGCGCCGTGGAAATAGTACTTTGGTTGCTAATGGTATAGTACTTTGGTTGCTATGCGCATAGTACTTTTGGCCGTGCACAGAAAAGATAGCAAAATTAGAAAGTAACATGTGACTCGCTCTCGGCCAATCAAGACACAGAATCTGTGGGTGAGGTGTTATAATATACAAATATTGAATGCTTCGAGTGGTGTAGTAAAACTAGCCTCCCTCGGTGATCCATGGACCATTCTATTTTCCCGAGGCGAAGCCGAGGGAAAATAGAATGGTCCATGGATCACCGAGGGAGGCTAGTTCTACTTCACCACGAGATAAAGCATTCAATATTTGTTTTATTACACTTCACCCACAGATTCTGCTTGATTTTAATATTTTACATTATTCAAATCTGAACACAGTTGAAATAAACTTCAATTTCAATACAAAATTGGTGAAAAATGTATTTCCCTCTTGAAACTAACCCTTCACGAAAAGTTTTAACCCAAGTCTGCGGCGCGGTCTCTTTGGAATAATACGCGCTACGCACAACGCGCAACGCACACACACCAGCATGCATTTGCACACAAATACCGCACGCTGTAGCCCCCCAAAAAATTTGTCTAGCCCCCCCTCCCAAAAATAAATAAATTCCGTTAAAAAAAATTGCATAATAGCAAAAAGAAGGATTGTGATGTACTTGCGAACGGTCTCCCCCTAAAGAAGAAATAGCCGTGACAAGGGTGCATTAGTTTCTCGAGAATGGGCATGCACATTCTTGAGAATGTGCAACTGGATCCTTGCTCAATCTTGGCAAAAAATAACTCTTCCAGATTGAGCGCACATTCTTGAGAATGCGCAACAAGATAACGGTATTGTCGATGCCGAGCACCGGCTGCGCTTGGCAAGTCTAGCTGAATCCTCGTTCACTGATTCTCAATAATTATACTGTTGCAACGCAAGGCGCTGAAAAGTAGAGTGGATATGATAAGTAAAGGCGTATTGATATGGGGGGGGGGGGGGGGCCCGACCGGGAAAATATAAGAGACATAATAATACTAGTGCAAAGAATTCTGATTTTTGGGATAATAAAAGCGGGGTGGGGGTGGGGGGGGGGACGTAAGAATGAAGAATGTGAAGAATGAGAATGAATACTGCGACATCCCATAGTGCTAATGCTATTTCCCATTTAAATTGCCACCAATTTATTGTTCACATCCCACCATAACGTCGCAGAGCTGGATTCTATCTAGTCAAAAGAGCAATTTTGGCAGCTTCTGGACATCGTTTTTTTTTTCGTGGCACGCTTATGATACATGCAGGGACTTGTAACTTGTCTAGCCTAAACAAAGCACTTCCCAGACTAGTTCCCAGTCCTCCGTTATTACAAAACTTCCCATAGTGGGCAGAAAAAAGCAATAATAACAGGTTTAATTTGATTCAAACTATCGTAGTTATACGAGTACAGAAGCATAGCACATTTTCTTTCCTCTTTATATGAATTGTTTCCCTTTTAACCGCTATACAATTCATTTAACATAATTATGTCGTGCAATGTTTGTTAAGATTGGGCAAAATTCATAAATTGTGCACGTGATATTCCCACCCAATCTTAAGAATGAGCGCTCATTCTTAAGAACGCGTGCTCGTTCATGACTGTTCGTCATGTTTATTTTTAGCCACGGAGGCTGCCACACACCTGGGGAACCAGCCAAAATTCTATTGATTTGGAGCGGAGGGTACCCTCTAAGGAAATCCCCTCTAACGCGCCGGGGAATTCCGGAATTCCTGGTTGTGCATAGAATGCATGAACCACGGAGAATAAGAATAACGACGGCATTTTTACAACGATGATCGAGGCGACGTTGGCATGCACCACAAAGCTTTTGCAATAAAACTAGGGCCTAGGTCAAATAGTTTAAATATTATAGTCATTTAAACGTTTTTCAGTTATAGAAGTACGTCAACATGCAAAAATGGTATGATAGGTAAGTTTAGTTTAAACGGGATTTTTTTGCTGACAAAAACCTCACCCAATACCAATTCGTCCCATACACTTTTGTACAGTTTTGGGGGCGAAAAATATGAAGAAATCTCGACATGCTTAGCACAGTCCCACTAACTGGGGCGTCGTTGGAACTCCTTGTTTTGACATTTGGGATGTTGGATGTTGGTCTGTACAATAGACCAACATCCGAAATGTCAAAAAAGGAGTTAGAAACTAGCGCCTAGTACTAGAAGTACTACTAGCTCTACTGAGCATGCTGAGTGGAGCGTTGAATTTCGGGTACCCCTCCATACAAACGCTCCACCGATTTGGCATACTTTGGTGACGGCGTCACAGTAGCATAGTCACAAACCCACGCGAGGACAAAAAGACCCCCCCAAAAACCGATAAAGAGAATACAAATGAGAGAGACAGTTACCCTGGATTGATCTACACATTCATGATATTCCATCAGACCCCTTACATTGTTCCCAAACAGCGAAAATTTTGAAGAAAAACAGCAAAATAGTCTGGAAACTTACAGCTCAATGTGTTCGCCGTGAGGCTCGATCCTTGCAAGGGTTTGCCGAATGAGGGCGTCTGACGTGACGTCACCGTCGTTGCTGGATCGAAGAAAAACAAGTCGCGCTTTATCAACGACTGTTTCGTGTAATAATACGTGCTCCGATCCGGGCCGTATGACAGTATGGGCTTTGAACACACGCAAGGTGGAGACGGCTAAAGCGTACACGTTCTAAATTAAAAACAAGTTAATGACGACAGATACCCACATGCAACCTGTATCAAAGAACTACTAATTCCTTCCTCCATGCTAATAGTACTGACAAATGAAAATTCCATTGTTATTAAAATACGTTTCAGCCGTCTCCACCTTACGCGTGTATGCTGTATGGTACCCAACCAACAGTTTCCATTGCTAGCTCACGTCACAGATAAGAAGATATGAAACTTCGGTCTTATAACTGGTTTGGCTTCTGGTCTAGATTTTGTTGTTCGCTGATCGCTGACAACGTCAAGTTTGCATTATACAAAACTGTTTCTGATTATTTAAAGGTGGGCCCGTCCATATCCATTTTTGTGTGAAATCAGGACATGAATTTAGCCAGCGTTCCACCAAGAACTTCAAAATTGCCCGAAACCAATGATGAAACCACGGATTGAGAAACGCGTTTTTAAGTCTGGTTCCGGGTTTAGCATTACAATATATAGAACCACAAGGTGGGAGTCCGCGACACGGTGTATGTTTGTTGTTTCATTATGGAGGAAGGAAAACAAACGGCCGCTGTATATAATTTATGTACATTATTCGCAAACATTAACGTGACGTGAACAAAAACTGGCAACGCAAACCGTGCGGCGTAAGTCATTGCAAATATTTTTTGCAAATAAGTTTTGCTTTTATTTTTGGGGCTTGAGTCTTATTAGCCTTCCTCGAGTCAAGTCGAGTCATTCTGATGAGGGACTCGAGTCGAGTCATTTGCTCGCAGTGACTCGAGTCGAGTCGAGTCGCCAAAAAATATGACTCGAGTCGGACTCGAGTCGATTCATTGACTCGAGTCATTACAACTCTGGCGTCAATATATCGTTATTTTATTTTAGTTAAACCATATTCATGAAGATCTGAACTTATACTTTAATAGATACATTGCAGTCATAAAACAGTGTATGCGAGCATGTTGATTGCAATTAAAGACAAGTTGTTCTTCTTAATGAGTGATTCGCAATGATGTGTCATGTGACTATATTTAGTTCTATATTAGTGGTCATTTTATAAAACAGGGCCTTGGCCTTGGCCTTGAGGGTTAAGCCTTGGCCTTGGCCTCGAGGCTTGAGGGTCAAAGCCTTGGCCTTGGCCTTGAGGGTCAAAGCCTTGGCCTTGGCCTTGAGGGTCAAAGCCTTTGCTCCAACACTGGCCTGTAGATACACGATCGCCCATTTAATTGTTTTCAGGTTTTGTTTAAAACAGGGTTGGCTGATTTAAATCACGTTGATTTAAATCACTGATTTAAATCACGATTTAAATCAAATGATTTTTTTATAAAAATCACTGATTTAAATTTGTAAAAATCTGGGTTTTTTTGGCAAAATCAATTGGCAAAATCAATTGATTGACGGTCATTTTAATCAACTGATTCCACTTAATTACAAAGTGTAAAATGTTGTTAACACATTCAAACACCCCTGCTTCATCACCATCGACTCAATTTAGGTTTAACATAATTCCACAAAATCGTTGTTTTGATTAAGTCAAGATCTGAGTTTAAAAGTTTTTCTTCAAAGTTTTTAATTTTATACCCATAGGCAGCGTGTGTGCATTGGCAGTAGCAATGCGGGCACCAGTACCCTAGACTGGCACTATTTCCAATGTTTCATTAAGTAGTATACAGTACTTCCTCTACCATTGTCTACTAAATTACAATGGAAGGGTTCAAAGATGAAAATGTGATTATAGTTTGTATTGTGTTGAAGGCCCGCCTCCGTATTTTAGGTATAATCATTAGACTTGTGCAAGTCTTCACTTGATCCACTGATGTTGTAGTGGATTTACATGTACATGTACATGTATTTTACTTTTAATACTTCCAATGGAAGTACCATGTGACAACATTTGCTTTTTAAAAACATTTGCTTTTTCTACCTAGTCAAAATGTTAGCCACACGATTGCTAGTCGATTTTGTAGTTACAGGCCCCTCTTTGTTTTTGGTCCTTCATTAGCCCAATGACCCGATGGTAATTTTTATGCCCCGCGGCGAAGCCGAAGGGGCATACTGTTTCCGCCTTGTCCTTCCGTGGGTGGGTGGGTGGGTGGGTGGGTGTGTGTGTGTGTCCGGACAAATCTTGTCAGCGCGATAACTTGAGAAATACTTTACATATGAACTTCAAATTAGGTTTGTGTATTGTTCTTGGTAACCCTAAGAACCCTTTTGCATTTGGGGCCGAAAGGTCAAGGGTCAAGGTCACAGTGACTAAAACAAAAGAAATTTTGTCAGTGCGATAACTTGAGAAATACTTTACATATGAACTTCAAATTTGGTTTGTGTATTGTTCTTGGTAATCCTTAGAAGCCTATTGCATTTGGGGCCGAAAGGTCAAGGGTCAAGGTCACAGTGGCTAAAACAAAAGGAATTTTGTCAGCGCGATAACTTGAGAAATACTTCACATGTGAACTTCAAAATTGGTTTGTGGATCGTTCTTGGTAATCCGAATAGGCCTATTGCATTGGGGGTCGAAAGGTCAAGGGTCAAGGTCACAGTGGCTGAAACAATAGAAATCTTGTATTTATTCTGAGATCAAAGGGATTAGGGATTAATTCATATAAAACCTACAGAAGACACTAATGCTGTCAATGAACGTTCCATTTGACCAAGGTACATGTAAGTTGATGTTAGAGTGGTGTTATGTCATTGGAACAGTCACGGTTGCGGGGCATTTGTGTTTGTAAACACACCTGACTTGTTATTTTTGTTTTGGGAGAATCAAGTAGGTCCTAGCTGCCTACGTCAAAAGTCTTAAAAAAGTCTGACTTTATACAAGGGTTTTTTATTTTCAAATAATTTAGTATTCGATTACTCGAAAATGCATTTGACCGAATACTCGGATATTCAAATCTGCCAGATGCAAAGTCTACGTGCTGTGCCGTTTAAAATAAAAGTTGCACGAAGATTGTGCCTACTGTGCCAGTTAAAATTTGCTGCCGCAATCGATATTAGGCGCTAGAGTGATTCGTAATAAGTATTTTGTAAAGTTCTGTAAAAGGACTTTAACTCAATGCTAAAAGGATCGCTGTGGACAAAATACTTAACGTTGACAAAAAAGTGGCACCTGACAATAAGGCACCACAACTTTATTATAAAATAACACTGGACAGTCATTTGCGCATGTGCGTAGTTTTTTGTTTTCGAATATTCAAACCGGCAAACAGCTATTTCAATATTTGGTTGATGATCGAATATTGGACTATTCGGTACATCCCTACTTTATACTCATTTTATGAAGACCTGTCATATTTCACCTTTTGTTGTGTAATGGTACAACATTAGGATGCAACTTTAAGGAGGTATCTATACGAGGAAATAGATGTAATTTTGTAATTTTTTTCCATGCAAAATTGACCGACACTTCAGAACATACGCTGATCATTGGTTTTTTTTTTTTTTTTTTTCAGAATGCTGCAAGAAGAATAAATTGTCAATTTCTGCCTGTATCAACACGGACCATAACGATGGGCAATAAGTCCACTTTTGTGGGTGATAAATGGATTTCTGAAGCTCATTGTGTAAATCAAGTTTGGAAAAGTTGGGCAGGTATGTAGAAATATATTATATACATGTATCTATAATCTCTTTTTTGGGCAAAATACCGGTATAAGTGACATTTCAACATACCATACATGGGTAGAACACACTAAACTGATTGCCTTTCAATCTAGCTAGCACGCCAACAGTGAAATTGTACATGTTGTAAGGGGTAAGTGTTCAAAATCCCCACCCTGGGGCTTGAAAAAAATGACCAAACACCAACATGCATGTAAGACCTGAGTGGGGAGAGGTGTACCTACAGCTATCCAAAAAGTAACTGATCAGATTTTTGTGAAAAAGCTTAATTGGCTTAAAGATAGCAGTGACACTAAACTCCTTGTGAAATTATTCCGTCTGACATGCAGTCATTTAAAAAAAAAACAGTGAAAGAGGGCCATTTCCAAAGGTGTGTCACGTGACACATTTGTAGAGATTTCCATTATTGTTGGTTTGTAATTGGGCAAACGATTCCCTTTTGGGTGGCGCATTGACACGATGCACACACACGGATGCATTTGCTAATGTTCACCGTTCAGTGCATAACATATTGCATACAAATGTATGTAGCTGCAATCGGCTGAATGAGAATGGTTACACCTCTGTGTTCCGACACCCCTATGTTCAGACACCCCTACATGTACATGTATGTTCCGACACCCCTGTGTTTTGACACCCCTATGTTCTGACTGCACATACATGTATTCCTATTCCTATTCCTAACCCTAACCCTAGCCTTAACTGTAACCCTAACCGGGAGTAGCACAACATAGAGCAGTCACCAATGAGAATGTGTCCCGAGTGCTGATTTCTGGTGCATTTCAAAAACACATCCTAGGAAGTAAGGGTTATGCATACATGTTAAATATTGTCAAATGCCTGGAAAATCCACATCTGTGATATCACTTTTTTGTGTGTTTGTGTTCTGCAGGCCTTCTGATATCTGTTAATGGCCGAATGGCTACATCTAGCGAACATAATTTGGCGAAATTTTATTGGATTATAAGCATTAACAGCTGGTTTGATTGGGACCGGCGGTGGTGTGGGACATCAATCAGGAAGAGATAAATTAGGTTTCTGGTTTGATAGGATTGGAGAGAAAATGTCTGTTGCTCACCCAAAGGTGCAACACTTTGAAGAACCTGCTGTGGGACATCAGTCGGAAACATACAGAGATTCTTTTGGTGCAAGGATTGGAGAGAAAACGATTGTTACTCAGCAAAGGGCAAAATACATCGATGAATTGATTGAAGAGGAACATCTCCTGGGTTATGGCACTCATGAAGTGTCATCTCAGCCGTCATCAAGGAACATATTCCTGACATTCATAGTGACATTCATAGCCTCTCACCAGTAGGGAAAAAAAACCCGATCAACATTCATCCGGACTTGAACTTTCCAAAACTTTTCTTTCTTTTTAGTTCAAAATCATATCCCTTATAACATACTGGCGCTTTGTAAACAGCCAGCTAAAAAAAAATAGCTCTACTGCTGTATATTGTGTACCTGCAAGCATTTTTGAAACTTCATTAAGTTTTGAAAAGATTCAGTAAAGAAGAAAAAATGATGCAGTTTGATAAAACTGACCAACTTCGACTTGGTGAACAAAAGCAACTATTGCTACAACTTTAAGACCACACGTCGACCTCAATATCTGCTGAAGATATTAAGTTATCATCGACCGGCAAAAAGAAGCAGATACCAAGACCAAACCAAGTCCGCGTTTACATGCCGGTAACATCAGCATCATTCGATCTGTAGATTGTGTTTAAAAGGAGACTGGTGAACATGGGAACGCCTGCCCCCAATTCCCTGGACATGGAACAAGAGGTGAACCGGCTAGCGACTTTCAAAAATTGGCCGCGCAGCGCACCGGTCACAGCTAATGCTCTCGCTAGAGCTGGGTTTTGTTTTTTGGGTATTGGCAATCAGGTTCAGTGTTTTGCCTGCTTGGGAATCATCAAAGATTGGGAATTCGGTGACCTTGCGCTGGGAGAACACAAAAAGCATTTCCCAAGATGCCCCTTCGTCCGAGATCCAGCTAACAAGAATGTTCCGCTTGCCGCTGAAAAAGCCAAATCGGGAGCTGCAGGTGGTGGCCCTGTGGAGAAACAGGCAAAAGAGAAACAAGCGGAGCTCTACAAAGCCCCCAATAATACCAAGAAATCTCAAAGCGGGAAGAAAGGGTCCGGGAAACCGGTGAAGGGTGGCGGATTTAATGAGAGCCTGAAGTCCTGTGAGGGAAATCCAACTCGGCAACTCACCATCGATTCCGCCGAAACTGAATTGCGTCTGACCCTCCGGAGTGAGTACAAGCGGCTCTTGACGTACCACAGCTGGCCTCGAAACCACCCTTTGGAACCCCGCTACCTGGCCGAAGCCGGCTTCTACTTCCTGCTAAAAGACGACATCGTGCAGTGCTTCGCCTGCTTCGGCAAAATCCGGGACTGGGAACCTTGGGATATCCCTCGGCAGGAGCACGCACGGCTGTTTCCAAGCTGCCCCTTTGTCAAGGGTCTGGATGTCAAAAACGAGCCAATCACAGATCTGCAGATGGCCAACGTAGTCACCTACCGGGAGCCATCAGGATACGAAAACACACTGCAACAATTCTCAAAGCAGTTGGAAGCAGTTCTGCCCCAAACAGCCAAAGTGACAAGTCAATGGGAGCAAGTGGCATCACCGAATCGCGTCCTGAACAGGCCCAAGTACCCAGACTATGTCGGGGAGAATGCAAGAGTGGCCACCTATCACAAAGGCTGGCCGGGAATCCTGGGGATCACGCCGCAACAGCTAGCACGAGCAGGATTCTTTTACACAGGTGAGAAACAGAATGAACATGGATAACATCTACATTTAGGGCATATTACCATATGCCCCAAATCATGCTGGGTACGCTCTAAAAACTTAAATATTGAATCCAACACTTCCTAGCCTTGACCAAGTCTGTCAAGCCAAGCTTTTTAGCTGAGCAAACGGTCCGGCAGTCGTTTTACCCTACTTGTCACACCACACGTACGCCACACACTTTACCGGTACGTAAACATGTACAGCGCACTTTGCGGTACAGTCCCTACCTACCTACATGTGTGTACATGTATGTACTACATACATGTACACCCCATGCAGTCACCACTAAGCGGTCGCAGTCAAGGAAAAGGACAACCTTGACGCAACCTTCGGCCGATATCGGCCAAAAATTTCTGATGCACATACTTTACACGATAGCCAAATTAGAGCCCATGCACTTTGACCCAAACAAAACAAACCACACACACGTGTACAAAGTTTATTAACCTTCGACTGCATGCATCGTGCAGTAGTGTTAAACCTTGGTCAAGGCGTTCGTCATTATTCGTCCGTACGTGGTAAATTCGGCGACATATCCTCGTTATGCAGTGCATTAAAAATACAGCGCGAACAGCGACATCATACGGCCACTATTAGGATCCCCACGAACGTCTTGGTGCAAAAGCTTATGTTTTTCTTGTGCTAGATTTCCAGCGCACGACCTCATATGCAAATACAGATAAGTGTAGGCAGGGCTAATATGTGGAGTGTCCAATCACACCGTGGTAAATCTCGACGTCATCAAATCACTTGCAGCTATTCGCCCTTTGCGGACGTGTCAGAAACCACATTTTTTTGTGTATTGGTGCTGTGTGTAATGTGAGACATTGACACATAATGTTTGTGTATGTATTACATGTACATGTATGTACAGTACCACTCGCTAACTATATAAGTTTCCACGCAATGATCGACCAAAAAGAAAACAACTTTTAAGGTCAGCTTAGGCTATTAGCATTTATGAGCACCACCCCCAAAACCTCACATGGACGATTGGACCAAGGCATTCGTCAGATCCAAACGATTTCATAAAATAGTGGCTGCATGAGGTCGCTGTTCGCGCTGTATTTTGAATGCACTGTATAGTGAGGATACATGCCGCCAATCATTTACCACGTACGGACGAATAATGACCAACACCTTGACATGCTTGACCAATTAGGCTAGCAGTAGTGATGAATATTTATTTTATTGTCAGCCATTACCCAATGAGAGAAGACTATGCGCATACTTATTATCATAATGAGCATGTAGCGTTGCATCAAGGCTGTCTTCCGCGTGACTCCCGTGGTATGGTAACTGTATTTTACTGTACGTCCGTACCGTGTCTGTACAGTACAGTGTGTCTGTACAGTACAGTGTGGATTTGTGTCTGGGACGTATTGCACAGGCAAAGCAGAGCTACTGGTAGCCAGGGGGCTGTGCGCGGCGTACGTGTGCCGGACCATTTGTTCAGGAAAAAACTTTGGTTTGACAGGCTTGGTCAAGGCTAAAAACTTCCATGAGTTTGGTCAGTAACAACACTTTGAAAGTGTTAAATCCAGCATTTTGAATGTTAAATCCACACTCAAACTGTTAATTCAAAATTTTGAAAAATGTTGAATTAACACTTAAATTGGATTTAACATTCAAAATAATGTAATGTAATAAGAAGAATTCTTTCTACGCCTTAATTCTGTATCGGGCAGTGCCAATAGTAGTCGTTTTAAGATGTTGTCGCTTCCTCCATGCTTCTCTAAACTGATCAGTAATGTGTTGCACGGCAATGTGGTGCCTTGTATGTTGTACACAACATAAATACCAATTTGACGGTCCCTGCACTCAATCGGGAATTTCTATACGCTCAAGAAATTCAAAACCAATTGATGCCATTTTTCTGACCCTTTTATGGTTGGGGCCATGACTGTAAAGTGAGGGGGGGGGGGCTTTCTGTGCAAAAAAATGATTCAGATAATTTCACTTTTCTTTTTAGCATTTTGACAGCTCACCCAACTGCTACATCACGAGAAAGAAAATCCAGAAGTTTGCCTCTTCGGGGGAGGGGCCTAATTTTACAAAAGCGGGGGGAAAATGTCACTAACAAACAATCAAGCTGTAACAGACATTTTTTTTGGTGTTTTGGGTTTTGTTTCCATTCAGTATAGTAAACCAGCAAACCATTTTAATAAAAGTATTAGAGCCTTAATGTTAGCAAGTCAAATTTATTCATTCATTTATTCAAACAAAAATCAAGTTGAAAATCAAGTTGAGACACAATTCATTTTTGTTTTTCAAGTCAAGTCTCAAGTCAAAAAAATAGCAACTCGAGTCGGACTGAGTCAACAACACTGGGTCTGTCACCCTTTTCAAACCATTGACAGACAGGAAGGGTCCATCGTAAGGCTAAATTTTCCTTGTTTTTGACACAGGTGAGGGAGACAGCACCAAGTGCTTTTATTGCGGTGGGGGGCTCAAACACTGGGAGTCCACCGATGAGCCCTGGACAAAGCACGCGAAGTGGTTCTCGGTCTGTGAGTGGCTGCTCCAACAGCGGGGAAGGACGTTTGTGAGCTACGCCGTCCGAAACTCCCGTGTTGACATGTCGCAGTTGAGACAAGTGAGGAATGTAAGTCAAAGAGATTTGTAAATTTGAAAATAATTATACCCTATACTGCATTGAGCACAGTTGTCTGATGGGTATGTTACCTGACTTATCTGAAGATTTTTGTGTTTTCAAGCAAGACACTTGAAGCCACATAGCTAACCCTAACACCCCCCCCCCCCATAAAAAAATCGTTGCCCCAACCCCCTGGAAATTGCTAGGCCTTTTTTACAAGTGGCTTTTTTTTTACAAGGGCCAATTTTAACGTTGCACGCACATCTTTAATTGTGTCGCCATGAAGAAATGCCACCTATTGTCTAATAGTGTCCGCTTTGATGGGCGCTCCATAGGAAGATGGTGTCCAACCCCCTGGATTGAGCAGAATGTGGGTGCAGTCCTGTCAACAGTCAATTTTTATATTTTTTTCCATAAATACTAATGAGTCCTTTTAAGTTTCTTCACACAATTTTAAAACCCCAAAAGGCATCTTGGTTGCAATTATGTTTTGTTCATTGATTTTTTGAGACAATCACCCCCCCCCCCCAAAAAAAATAATTTCCCCTCAAAGGTTTCCTGGAAGCGCTCCACCAGGGGTGAACTTTCAGCTCCATCAGGTTCATATTAAAGTGACTTTGTCATACAGGCGCACCCACTACCAATTGCAAGTGCCCAGTGGATAACCACGCCACTTTGTTTTTCTTCAGTTCCACACCACAAACACAAACACATAGGCTGCCAGATCGTATTCAAAACTACATGACCATTCGTGATCTGCACGGCGCCCAACTAATATCAAATCTAAGGACAAATTCACCTCTCGGTATATGAAATTTACACACAGTTGAAGAATTCCAGTCATAACATTCAATGAAGTTATTTTCCTTGTGTACTAAATCTGGTTCAGGTAGATTCAAATTCATGCCGTACTTAACATTTTCATGCAAATTTTGAGCAAAAACCCTTTTACCAAAAGAAAACTCTAAACGCATGTACAATACAGGTGTTAACGTACATGTTTAAGCATGTTGCACACTAGCCGCGTTAAACATGCTACCAACAAAGATTTTGCCCATACTTTTTCCAAATCATGTTCTTTGTACACACGGGATACTGGCGGTCTATGGGTTTATATGTTTGTGGGCTACAGCGTGTGCAGTGGGCGTGGTTAAAGTTGAAATAGTATTACACTTACGAACCTGTACGTGGTTGTTTGCATTGGCAGTCTCGTAAATAAAATAACGGAGGGCGCTCTTACAAAAATCTGGCGGTCTATGGGTTTACATGTTTGTGGGCTACAGCATGTGCAGTGGGCGTGGTTAAAGTTGAAATAGTATTACACTTACGAACCTGTACGTGGTTGTTTGCATTGGCAGTCTCATAAATAAAATAACGGAGGGCGCTCTTACAAAAATCAGGTCAGTCACCGACACTCATAGGGTTGCAGACCAGTAAATAAACTTCCATAGACCCCAATGGTAAATGCTCCCACTTCAGAAATTCGGGAAAAATACTCACAACTCTCCAAGGTGTTCGAGACACACATCAAATTAAAGCTTATTTCATCATCTTTTATTTTCTTTTCAATTTTTGGGGGGGTCAACTGATGACTTTTAGGAGAAATTTCCATCCGAAGATGATCACCCCTGAAAATAGTCCTGAAGCCCATCGCCATTTTGAAAAACGATGCCTACACTCCATTGCAAAATAGAGCGCTTAAAGGGCCCCAATTTCATCCAAATTGAAAGGAACTTCAAGCTCACAGTCCTGTGCACGGCTTCCACCCATATTTTTTACAAACCCTCAAGTTCATGGCCCACAGCATGCTCAAATACTGAAGATTTTGAGGGCATGCAAATCGTGATTTGGCCGGCATAGGCAATTTTGGACCGATTGACTGGTCTGCAACCATAGGAATGGTTTTCTGCTGAATGGTGCTAAGCACAACATGTGCTGAGCAGTATTTTCCGCTCTAAATACATGTAGCAGTGGCATGAAATTGGGTCCCGGGTCTGAGAACAGGTATATATGTACATGTAGCGTAGCATAAACTAATGTGTTATTCCATGACAGGCCCAGATGATGCCCTCCGCTGCAGTCAAGGCAGCCAGCAGCAGCTTGCCAGCCCCAACAGCCTCTGTATCACAGGAACCTCCTACAGATGAGGCCAGTGTGATCCACAAGAAATTCTCTATGGATGACCAACTGGGTAAGATGCAAAGCATAGGCTCGGGCAACCTCGTCCCCAGGGCTTACTTTGTTTTTAACCTTGTTTCCAACAATTACCCCTGGGTGGGAAACCCTGCTACCTGTATCCTGATACAGCTAGACCTGGGCGAGTAAAGAATTTTTCTACTCGAGTACTCGCAAAGAAAATACTTGCAAGTAGTTGAGTACCGGTACCCGCGAGTAGTTACAGGAAATACAGCATTTGTAAACATCAACAAACAATAACTACCAAATTATTATGGAATACCATACTGGACTGTTAGTGAATGACAGTCTAAAGCATCCTGTAAAATCTTGGCACCTGGTGTGCTGACACTTTCAAGAAAAGTGTATTTTTGTATCAATTTTTGGAAAAAAAAACTGGCTTTTTGTGAAATACTGCCCCCAATTTACCATATTCAGTTAGTCCGCATTTTTTTGTGCAATTGATTACACTCCTATGAACGGGTACACTTTTAGCCAGCGAGACCGGTTCACTGACCTTACAATTCCCCGCTGTCTATAAATTGCTCCATTTCATCTTATGTGGGGTCAGCTAGAGAACTAAGGGACAATTTCATAGAGCTGCTTAAGCACAAAATTTGCTTAAGCTCAAAAACACTTTGCTTAACATAAACAGGTTGCCCACCAAAACTCCATGCTATTGTTATGCCAAGTAATCAACAGCTAATTAAATACCAGTCACAAGCAATGTACATCCCATGGAGTTTTGGTTGGTAACCAGATTATATAAAGCAAGGCCGGTGTTTTTGTGCTTCAGCAAATTTTGTGCTGAAGCAGCTCTATGAAATACTACAAGAACATCATTGTTTTCTTGGTTTTTCCAGCATCTACGAATTCAAAACTGCAAACAAGTCAGTGTAACAATATTCGCTATAAATACTACCCCCCCCCCCCCAAAAAAAAATCCATCCAATTCTGAAAATTACAGCAAAAGTAAATGTTGTATATATTCCCTTCAACCAAATTCCCATAAAAGCAGAAAAATAATATGTGAGTATGATGCGGAGTAAATTTACAAGCAAATAGCGTGCAAGTTGCACACATTCTTCAGCACTGAGATATCCTTACTGTGTGACGTTTTGAGCAAAGATCTTATAGCGCCGAAGGCGCAAGATGGGGAACTCCATAGAAATAGCGAAACCATCATAGACGCCATTCCAGTAAGCAACCATTGTGAAAACCATTGTTTGCACAATGGTTTGCTTCGAGTAAGCGAACCACTGTGCAAACAATGGCTTGCACAATGGTTTGCTTGCTCGAATGGCGTCCATGGCGATTTCACAATTTCTATGGAGTTCCCCATCTTGCGCCTTCGGCGCTATAAGATCTTTGGTTTTGAGTCAGTTACTTAATGAATGGAATCCTAGAGTGAGAGAGGTGGAGGGAGTGATTCCCTGTTTGCAGGGGATGTATAGTTACTTGAGTATTAGAGTTACTCACCCAGCGGTATACAGCCGTAGCATGTAATGGATTTATTTGGTGTGCTTGATTTTATTTCTAATGAGTTTTAACATGTTTTATTAACATTCAAAGATTGTGAATTATTAAAATGGAGTAGACAGGATTGTTTTCAAAACATATTACACATGCAAATTAGGTACAGAATAGTCTAGTGCCTTGCAATGCTAATTAAATCAATGTTTGCTTTTGTATCTTACCCTTCAAATATGCAGTTATGATCAAATCGGAAGAGGCTGGATTGTTATTGCAAATGATCCAATACCAGGTTGTGGGAGCATACTGCTCGAAACCATGGGAACGAGGTTGGGCTCTGGGTAGTTATAACAATGTCAATCACAAGTTAACTAGAAGGCAAATAACAGTAAAAAAAAAAATTACAAGTCAGTCACAAGGAAAATCACAAGTCACTCAAATGTAATCTCCGGTCAAATTGCAACCAATAACAGTTAATTCACAAGTAATCCAAACCAATCACGAGTCAATCACAAGTCAAATCACAATTTTATTCAAATGACACGGCAATCACATATCAGTCACAAGGCCAAGCACAAAAAAACCATTAGTCTAATCACAAGTTAATTACAGGGCAAATCACGGAAAAAAGCGCATATCACTCACAAGTCAATCAGGCGTCATACATGTAAGTCAAATCAAAGTACACAACCTATTATCAAAAGTCAATCACAACCAATTATTACAAGGCCAATCACAAAGTCAATCATAAATCCGTGCAAGAAGATCGGGTTACCAATAGCAGGAACAATGAATAAACCCAGGAATGTTTGAAAACATTAACAATATTCCAACTTAAATTGTTTTACATGTATTGTGAAACATGAGAGGTTTTTTGTCTTGCATTAAAACAGACATGGCCATGAACAGCCAGTTGACCAAACGCATTGTGAAAGAGGGGTACGACGCCGATTTGGTCAAGCAAGTCGTCCACCGACAACTCCAGACAGTGGGGAAAGAATTCAAAAATTTCCAAATTTTTTGACAGCTGTAAGGCAGGCCAAGGAAATGCGAGAAGCTGGAACATGGAAAGAGGACATTGAAGAAGGAGAAGACAGGGGGAAGACACAAAACAGTGTCAACGCTACAGGGGGGCATGAGGGGGCAGTTCACCCCAGCAAGCAAATCAAACGAAAGAAGAAAAAAGGAACAAACGAGGTAAGAGAAAAGGAAAATAGAGGTCTATAGCTGTTTGATGAACAGAACATAGGGCTTTTCTGCAATATGCTTTTTTATCAATAACACGTCCCTGACTATGTATGTACAACGTTTCAACCCAAGCGAACCTATGGTTCTTTAGATATATTTTTAAAATATGCACCTTTAAAACTACGTCACAAGACCCATGATCACCTGCCGCAAGAGTGCGCTCGAATAATGCAGGACGTCACTGGTCAAATTTTGAAAAGCCCACCCTTGCCGCAGACAAACATCGTTGAAAGCAAATTCGCATGTACCAATTTCAAATTACAAGGCTCTGGTTTCAACCAGAAGGAAGGGTCACTTGATTTTGCACGTAATATCAAAGATGAAAACCCTGGATTACAGTGTTGTTGACTTGAGTCGCTATTTTCTTGACCTGAGACTTGACTTGACTTGGGGAAAAATGAAGTTGAGACTTGACTCGACTTGAAAAAAAAAATGACTTGTGACTTGACTTGACTTGAAAAACATTGACTTGCTGACATTAAGACGTTTCTTAAAGTTACAAAAAATATAAAACCTCTGGGCGTTTGTGCACACTAGCATAATTGGTTGAAAACAATGCTAATAATATACATGTACATAGTGAATTAGCAACCAGCATGCGATAGCTGGGCATCCTGAGCCTGCCACACGTCATGTAGGTGACTAGCGTGTGTTATGGACAACGTATCATACTTGACCTCGTGCATGCAGGGTGAAGTTTTTGCCGTGTGTAGTCTGAGTACTATCTGTTGAGAGCGGTTATTCCATAGTGACCATAGGCTACAGGTACACATTGAGTGGTTTACTCATGCAACTAGGGTTTAAACGACTGGAAAACGGCTGCTACCCCAAATCCACCACAAAACAAAAAGAATTCACATTAATGATGTGCAAACCCAACCAGAAAACCGAAACCGACCTTGTTTTGTTCATTGATTTTTTGAGACAATCACCCCCCCCCCCTCCCCAAAAAAAATCCCCTCAAGGGTTTCCTGGAAGCGCTCCACCAGGGGTGAACTTTCAGCTCCATCAGGTTCATATTAAAGTGACTTCATCATACAGGCGCACCCACTACCAATTGCAAGTGCCCAGTGGATAACCATGCTACTTTGTTTTTCTTCAGTTCCACACCACAAACATAAACGCATAGGCTGCCAGATCGTATTCAAAACTACATGACCATTCGTGATCTGCACGGCGCCCAACTAATATCAAATCTAAGGACAAATTCACCTCTCGGTATATGAAATTTACACACAGTTGAAGAATTCCAGTCATAACATTCAATGAAGTTATTTTTCGATTGAAAAAAATTTCTTTGTGTACTAAATCTGGTTCACGTAGATTCAAATGCATGCCGTACTTAACATTTTCATGCAAATTTTGAGCAAAAACCCTTTTACCAAAAGAAAATTCTAAACGCATGTACAATACAGGTTTTAGTGCACATGTTAGTATGTTGCACATTAGCCGCTTTAAACATGCTGCCAACAAAGATTTTGCCCATACTTTTTCCAAATCATGTTCTTTGTACACACGGGATACTGGCGGTCTATAGGTTTATATGTTTGTGGGCTACAGCGTGTGCAGTGGGCGTGGTTTAAGTTGAAATAGTATTACACTTACGAACCTGTACGTGGTTGTTTGCATTGGCAGTCTCGTAAATAAAATAACGGAGGGCGCTCTTACAAAAATCTGGCGGTCTATGGGTTTACATGTTTGTGGGCTACAGCGTGTGCAGTGGGCGTGGTTAAAGTTGAAATAGAATTACACTTACGAATCTGTACGTGGTTGTTTGCATTGGCAGTCTCGTAAATAAATAACGGAGGGCGCTCTTACAAAAATCAGGTCAGTCACCGACACTCATAGGGTTGCAGACCAGTAAATAAACTTCCATAGACCCCAATGGTAAATGCTCCCACTTCAGAAATTCGGGAAAAATACTCACAACTCTCCAAGGTGTTCGAGACACACATCAAATTAAAGCTTATTTCATCATCTTTCATTTTCTTTTCAATTTTGGGGGGGTCAACTGATGACTTTAAGGAGAAATTTCCATCCAAAGATGATCACCCCTGAAAATAGTCCTGAAGCCCATCGCCATTTTGAAAAACGATGCCTACACTTCATTGCAAAATAGAGCGCTTAAAGGGCCCCAATTTCATCCAAATTGAACGGAACTACAAGCTCACAGTCCTGTGCATGGCTTCCACCCATATTTTTTACAAACCCTCAAGTTCATGGCCCACAGCATGCTCAAATACTGAAGATTTTGAGGGCATGCAAATTGTGATTTGGCTGGCGTAGGCAATTTCTGACCGATTTACTGGTCTGCAACCTATAAAGAAGCGAGATTTTGAAAAATTCCCCCAAACCACTTGTACGGCACGAGGAAGGATGGATGACTCATATTTCATCAAAAAATTGCAAGAAAAAAATCTCTGACTGTGATTTCTGGGCTGAAAACAAGCCCTCTGTTTGCGGCTGCCTTGCTGTAGGGTGCCCCCAACGGGAGTTAATTGAGATTGTTTTCTTCTTTTTCAGCCATCCCCCATAGCATTTGTACACGTTTTCACAGTGGAAGGCACTTTGGACACTAAAATCAATCCGATTGACTTTATACTCAGCACACACTTAGACCAGCATCTGAAGATGTGTGCCGAACATTGACGTTATGATGTCATCACGAGTCACGTGACGTCTCATTATATGCGATTTTTCTATTGTGACCATTTTCTAGCAGAATTCGGCTAGATCTTACAGATTGGGCTATATCTCCAGAACTACAGGTCCGATTGGGTTGAAACTTGGTGTGCATCTAGACCGGGATGTCTTATAGATGAAAATTAACTTGACATTATGATGACGTCATCATGTGACCTATGACGTCATATAAAATAAAGATATTTTGAAGGCCTATATCTCCAGAACTGTAAGTCCGATTGGCTTGAAACTTGGTGTGTACCTAAACCGGGAAGTGTTGAAGATGAAAAATAAAGTGACGTCACAATGACGTCATCACGTGACATGTGACATCATATTAAACGTGCATATTTTGAAGGCCGATATCTATAGAACTGCAGGTCTGATTGGGTTGAAACTTGGTATGTACCTAAGCCTGGATGTCTTATAGATGAAAATTGAAGTGACGTCACAATGACGTCATCATGGGTTACGTGACGTCACGTTGAAGATGATTAGATTTATTCTTTGAAAATCACTATAAAATCAACCGTGAGCGACCTGAACTTAACATTTGGGGGAATGGATAGAATAATCCAGGGTCTTCATTGTTTATAAATTATATTATGTGCAAATCACATGACCCTTCCTTCCAGTTGAAACCGAAAGTGCCTTGTAATTTAAAATTGGTGAAAGAAGTGAACTTGCTCTCAATGATGTATGCTCTGGATAAGTTGTTCTTTACCATAAAATTATAGTTATACATAACAATTGATGTGATGTCATCATGACGTCATCACGTGACGTGACGTCATGATTCAAAGCCCTATGAGAATGTAATCACATATTATATGCCACCATTTATTATCAACAGAACTACACATCCTTCCTGGATGGAACTTATACTTGAAACTTTACATGTCACACGTCACAAAAAATTACCAAAACAGCCCTGTGTTTGTCCACAAACATAAATCTAGTTCATTTTGCCGGTGATGTTTGTGTTGCCTATAAAACGAAGTTTTTGGGGCACTTTATACCAGTCGTAAATGCTGTGACCGTGTGAGAGTATATGATTGTAATTAAAGTTTAGGTTAAGTTTTTGAAACAAATGTAAAACTTCTATGTGCTTTCATGGATTTTAATGAAACTTGGATGCAGTGACCCTTGGGTTGGAAGACACAATTCTCCATTGGATTACTTAGGTCAGAGGTCATGTAGGGGTCATTAGAGGTCATTGTTCGAATATGTTTCAATGTTTCTTTGTCTACAGAATTTGATGGATTTTAAATGTAATTTGGCTGGAGTGATCCTTTGATGGGGGTTAATGACAACTCTGTAGATGGAGGTCAAAGGTCATACAGGGATTGTTTGTGGTCATTGTTTAAAAATGCACAAATTTTGCCTTTTTTCAACAGAAATGAATGGGTGTTTACAAACGTTGCTGATAATAAAGCCTTTTAGGGCTGCTGATGTGTTGTTTTAATGATGTAATGTCAAAGGTCATCCAGGCGAACGTCAATTGTGAAAAAAATGTGAAAATGCTGTTGTTTCATAGAAACATACATTCCAGTACATTCCAGAAAGTACATTCCAGGAGCCAATCATTTCTTCAACTGAAAATGAACAGCTTCAAGAATAAGAACACAAAACATATAGGGATCGACCGCGAACAAAGGCAGCAGGTGTGATCTGCGGATCACCTAGTGACCTTGTAATATGTTCTCTCCCCCCCCCCCAATTAATTTCTTTGCCCCTCGCTTTCTCCAAAACATTTTAGAGTCCAACGAAGCAACTGGCACAAGGTCTTGAAGGGTTGAGGTTTGGTGAACATGAGGCTTCTGAGACGGTTGGACAGTCCAGAGAAGTACCAGCAGAATCGCCACGACAACAATCAGGTACGTCTTTGGATTGTGCTTTATGAAATTAAACTCTTTGGTCAACAATGGACACCATGCATGGACACACACATTTGTTTGTGGTGTACATTGTAAATCGAGGAGTTTCTATTGTTTCGTATCATTGGTCTTTTGTTCATACTTTTTTGTAACATCTCCCATTGGTTTTGTACACGTTCCTAATCAAGAACTTTCTCAATCTGTCCTCAAGTATCTTTCATATACATGTGTGTCCTCGTTTTACACCATAAGATCCACAATTTGAATGCATATGTATACATGTACACACACCTTTTGCGCTCTATTAGTAGGGGGGCCAATGTATAGATTCGGGTTCCCATGGAAATTTCATGTTAATTTATGGCAACCATTGCAACCATTATAAATGCATTTTTATGAGTCCTGAGAACAAGAAAATTTATGTTGCCATTTTTTCCATTGACCTTTAGTGACCATGACCTGAGGTCAAAGTTCATGGGTCATTTTCACCTAAATTCCGAAAGGGTTTGCAAAGATTTTCAAGGCAAGTGAGCATACATGTATATTGTATTTGGTTGTGAGTTTCTCCATTATAAAAAATATATTATTAATGTATTTATGGGTTTTGCAGAAGAAAATATGGAAAATGTCAACTTAACCTTTTAGTTTGACCACCTCACACGGATTATGCCCCCCCCCCCCCCTATGATCCCGGCCATTGAGAGACGAAAAATTCAATACAGGCATAGAACAACTTAACATGAACATACCCATGAAATGACTATAGGTCAAAGGGTTTTGGAATTATGGCTAATTAATTATTTATATGCATTTGCACGAATGGTAATTTTGCTTTGTGTACACTACCGGTACTTACCGGTATGTGGGGAAATTCAGTTTTCACCGCGCATAGCGCCAGACATTTTTCGCTACGCGGCAACCCATGGTCCAAATTTTATGTTTTTGGTATCAAAAGATGCACAAGACTCGAGGCTAAAAAGTCAGGTCAGCTCGTGTTGCGAAAAAAATAATTTTTTAAGGGTATCTTGGAAAAAGTTGAGGGGGGAGGGCGGATTCCACCCCACCCTTTTAGGGCTAATGTTGATTTTGAGGACCTGTATTTATTTAAATGCAAAATCCGACCAACCCTTTAGTGCCTGGCATCCAAATATGAAGATGTTGCACAGTGTCCTCTGCAGAACCGCACTCACACAGGGTATTTGTCGATTGGTAAAAGCCCCACTTCTTCATGGTACTTTTGTTGCGAGCCACTCCAGAGCAAAGGCAATATGGGGCCGTATCATAAGTCCAACGCCTCATAGGTCGGACGCCTCATAAGTCAGAAATTTCGGACTTATGAGGCATACAGTTTATTTATTCCGCCTCATAGGTCTTCCGCCTCCTAAATCCGATGCCTCATAAGTCCGGTTCTATGAGGTGTCGGACTTACAAGGCATCGGACCTACCAGGTATGAGGTGTAGGACTTATGGGCCTTTATTTGGTTGGGGAATGCGATTTTGTCGGAGCTATGAGGCGTCGGACTTATGATGCGGACCCAGGAGGCACACACTTGGGTCTTAATAGTAGGGTTCGCTTTCAGGTGGGTCACAGTGTACAGGGTGAGTAAAAAAAAAACCGAAACCCAAATGTTGGGACCATTGTTTTAGTAAAGTTCTGCATGTAGCACTTTAGAAATCTAAGATATAAAATCCCAATTCATAAGCTTTCGTTTAGTACAAGAATCATTCAAATCACTTGTGTACTTTTTAAGTTACGGAGTTTTACACACAACCACCGTTTTAAGGTTCTGTCCATGGATTACAAAACAGTTCAGTGTTTTTTCAGCAAAACGAAAACAAATCATATAAGTATGTGTGTGAATTGTTTTCGTTTTGCTGAAAGAACGCACACCTTTGTTGTGTACATGAGTGATTTGAATGATTCTTGTACTAAAAAAAGCTTATGAATTGGGCTTTAATATCCTAGATTTTGAAAGTGCTACATGCTGGACTTCACTAAAACAATGGTCCCGACATTTGGGTTTCGTTTTTTTTTTTAATTAACCTGTAGTACTGCTATAACTGGTCAAGAGCATCAGTCAATGTCTTCTCTATCGCTGTAAAGCATGTGTGTTGATATGCTACAGGTCTTCCGCATATATACATACATGAAGTGATTTGCGAGAGAGTCTGTCGGTTGGTAGTTCATATAGATGTTGTACAGGAGAGGTGCAAGCACACTCGCTTAGCCTTTATAGGGAGACCGTTCCGTTGAAGACGTACTGTACTCTTCCTGCCATTGAATTCTACAAATAAATGATGGTTCTTCAGTAGAATACCAATAAACTGCGTAAGGGTAAGGTCTGCCGTCATGTCCAGGATCTTCTGAAGGAGTCAGCAACGGTTAACAGTGTCATAAGCAGCTGTAAGATCAACAAAGACAGTGTCGGTGATATATGTTTTTCTGATGGAAGCCGTCCTCAATGTACTGAGTGAGGTTTAGAAGCTGTCCAGTTGTAGATTTGCTGGGACGGAAACCAGCCTGCCTGCCTGTCTTGTATCAGTTGTTCCTCAATGAAGGGGGCGAGACGGTTGAGGAGATGTTCTAGCAACTTAAATGTGTGACTTACAAGGGATTTGGGACAACAATTTTTGGCCTGCATTGGGTCTTTCCCAGGTTTTAGGAGTGCGATGACCTTGGACTTACGCCACACTTTAGGTATTATTTGTGTGGCGAGGCAGGTGTTAAAGAGCTGGTCCAAGTTGTTTCAGCTCTTCGGTGAAAAATGTTATCCAGTGTGGTTGCTTCCCTGTTCTTTCTTTATGCAAGTCGCAAGTTCATTAGCAGAGACGGGTTTGGTGAAGCCAAGGTCGATGGCGGGGTCTTTCTGGCGGAGCTTGGTTTTCCATCGCTTAGGAGAACTTCGCACTTTACCATTTAATAGTATACAAATATAACATGGTTTGAGGGTGGACAGTCGATATTCGCTCCCCGAGGTATTGGAAGTTGACAAACTAGTTCCCGAGGCTTCGCCTCGGGAACTAGTTTGTCAACTTCCAATACCGAGGGGAGCTAATATCGACTGTCCACCCGAAATAAACCATGTTATATTTGTTTTACTATACCTCATACATATTCAGTTGACGATTTTTTTTTTTTTTTTATATATGCACCTAAAACAAAATTCGGGGAAACTTGTACATCTCACCAAAAGAATAGTTTGGTTGCTCAACTTCAATTACTAGTTCGGTTCGTTTGCAATATAATACAGTTACTACAGTTGTAAATACAGTTGTTTGTGTACAACTTTCTTTGGTAAACTTTCTCCAGTACGGCATCATTGAGCTCTGGAAATTAACATTTACGCGAACCGTGCAACCATGCATGGCGCTCCCTCCTGGGCGATGTTCGCGCGTGCGTACTGCACCCGTGCGACAGTTCCTCGATTGCTCTGTAAAGGGCATGCGTAGTAGACTGTCGCACGGGTAACCCATGCGACAGTCTACTACGCACGCGTATTTACCCTGTGCGTGAAACCTCGCGCGCGCGTTTGGTAAACAGCAAGAATAACATCTGGCACGTGATGGTGAATTGACCAGTGAGAGTTCGGCTCTCGATCATGAATATGTATGAGGTATAGTAACAGTTATTGTGGGCTATTTGGTTGGCGGTGATGTTACAACGCTGTTCACTTGGCCCTGTGCGGTCATTGCTGACCTTTTTTTATTAGACGCCAGGCTTTGTGGTTGTTCCTGGCCATATTGGTGGTTCCTACAAGGGTCTGCCACTAGCTTTGACGCTGTTCTGATATCTGTTATTAATGCCTCCCCAGCTGAGATGGTATCGACAGCAAGGGGGTCGTTTTCATACAGGCGTTTGTATTTTCTGTGAAGTTCAGCACTACGGGATGCTAAGCCTGGGTTGTAATCAGTGCGGCAGCCCCTAGGGATGTTCTTGCACCACCACATCAACAAACCGATGTCATGGTTATCGGGGGTTGGATCAATCTCAGCTAGATGGTGTTTGAGCTCATTGGTGAAGCCTTCCCAGTTGGCCTTACTAAGTTGAAATGGCGGTGGAATGGAATTGTTGCAGGAGAGACAGCAGCAGTCACTTGGATTCCAATAGTGCGCTATTGGGTCTTTGGAATGGGGTCAAGAACCATCTTGTTGCTAAGCGAGGTGATGTTGTGGCTCGCAAAGGCTAGAACAGGGTTGAAACTGCATCTCCAGCGTCCACTTGGGAAAGACTTCAGCTGTTATATGCATTGTGAATAAGGCTCAGTTGACTTACTTTGGCCAGCGATTAAGAAACGTTGCCGTCTGTGATGGAATGATAGCCAATGATGCTGCTGTGGCTATTAAATCCCCGATAGTTGTGCGTGGCTTGGACTGTTATGTTGTTTGTAGGCACGCTCAACTGTTGGCAGGCACTACATTAGAGTTCTGCTGAGGTGTTATCTGCATTTGCTGCCCTGGGAGCCTCCAGCAATCAAGCTGACAGCCGCATCGAGGCATTTATATGCCAACCTGTCACGTTGCTTGAGTTTAGTTCTAACACTGCAGCAAGTTTTTTTTTACTGCTGGTTTGGTCGGCCATGGACACAATCATTTATAAACATTATAGAGATGAACATTGTGTTTACTGTAAGATATCTAAAAGTGTATGTGTATGTATGTTATGCTCCAGCAAAAGATGTCATGTTAATAAATTGTCGAAAATATGTTAATATTTTACTGAAAAATTCAATGGTTTATACTCCACACACTAACAGCACTTAAAAATTGCATGCAGAGTAGTTTAATACTTAGTATAAGAAGCATTATCAAAAACCAAAGAGTGGTAAATGGATACTTAATCCATACTTAAGCTCCTATTTCTAACACCATATTATGTGGATTTTAACCCCTTTTGGGGCATATTATAGAAAATAAGATTAAGGTATCAAAAAATGAACAGAAAAATTGGCAACAGCATTTTTTGTAAGTTAAAACCTCCCAGAAGATGGTCCAACCAAATGGAAGTACATTGCCCCCCCCCCCCCCACTATATAGTTTCTACAATTTTTCATTTGGTACTTATTTTGACTTTTAACTTGAAGAGAGTGAACGCCAGATTGAGCGACTTCGCGACGAGAACATGTGCAAAGTGTGCATGGACAACGACGCCAACACTGTGCTCATGCCGTGCAGGCACCTCCTCATGTGCGATATGTGCGCAAACACGCTCCGCCTCTGCCCAATATGCCGACAGACCATCACCAACACCATCAAAGTCTCCAAGTCGTAAGAGATGGTTTTGATAAGAAACAATTTTTGATAAGAACCTGTCTCCACAGTTTTGATCTATAGTCACTTGTCAGTTCCTCAAAATACAGTGGAACACCGCTATACCGAACACTGCTATACTGAACACCGCTATACCGAATGTTCGGCTATACCGAACATCATCCTTGGCTCCCGATTTTAATGTAGAAAACGTACCGAACATTGTTGTTGAAAAAAGTCAACATGAGATTAACAAAAAATCTACCGGTTGTACATGTATTAAACACTATTTGGGCCACTTTTAATTCCCGAACATCAAAACGACCCATAGTTACATCGTGTTTAAATGTTATTATTTCCCCAAGGAATAGAAGGGAAAACCACTTGTGAGAGATGCTAGTTTACTATTGGTCAAAAGAGAGTACCGGTTGTTCAAAATCGCTTTACCGAATGATCGCTATTACGAACACTTTCTATGGATCCCACGATACTCGTTATGGCGGCGTTCCACTGTATGCTTTGGTGACTAGGCCTACATGACCCCACTTGAAGTAATTCAGTACATGTAAAATTTCCAATGACTGTGTTGTCTCGCCTGTTTTTTGTTCAAAAAAAGAGACTATGCAATCCTATGTCTGTACGTATCTACATGTATGTAAAACATTTAAATTGCCATTTAAATAATTCTTCTGTTTGGGCAAAGTCATTTTATGCCACATTTTAAAACTAATAAATCCCTTCTGTTTGGTCAAAGTCATTTTATGCCACATTTTAAAACTAATAAATCCCACTCTCCCCAGTTACAGATGCAACATGGCATCCTACAAATGATAATGATGTCAAAATTCACATACCAAGGTCAAAGGTCATCTGAGGTCAATGTAACCGCTGTGAGTGGAAGGGAGATGGACAGCAAAAAATAATGACTGACCACTTGTTAGTGCCAAATTCAACGCATGAAACAGTTATAGCGGATTTTAAAAAGTGGCAAAGTGGATTGGTAGAAGAAACGTGTGCTAAACCTATGGAGAAAAAGTCTGAAAAAGGAGAAGAAAAAAAAAAGAAAAAAAAGAAAAAAAAAAAAATCTTAACAAAAACAAGAGCTGTTTCTGTGTGTACACCGAAACAGCTAAAAAAAGAAGAAAAAAAAGAACAAAAAAATCTTAACGAAAACAAGAGCTGTTTCGGTGTGTACACCGAAACAGCTAAAAAAAAGAAAAAAGAAAAAAAAATCTTAACGAAAACAAGAGCTGTTAAACAGCTAAAAAGAAAAAAAAAATCTTAACGAAAACAAGAGCTGTTTCGGTGTGTACACCGAAACAGCTAACTTTTCGCTCAGAATGTGTTCAGTGGTTACTAGTACAGTGTGTAATGTAACTACATTTTGTATTGAGTTTGGATTTGTAAAAAGTCAGACAAATTCGACTTGGACTTATGTCATTATGTCAGAAGAGTAAGATGGACAATGTATCATGCAGATTTGCCATTGGTCTAGGTGAAAGGTTACCACCAGGATATTGTACACATGTAAATAAGTTCTGAATCTTAAGAGGAAATGTTGTTTAAGAGTTTTTGCAGACTTGTTTGAAAAACCTGCATTGTTAAAGTTAATCCCAAAAGTTACACATGTTAGCCATGTTGTTTATTGTTAGTAAAACAAATGTTCCAGTATTGTTGTTCAATAGTTAGGTTTTGTTTGAAAGAGAGGTAATTGTACGACTGGAGCTTGTACAATTAAGGGGCCGGTATGTTAAAGTGCCAAATTCACCGCATGAAACAGTTATAGCCACCTCTGTTGACAGAAAAAGTTTGTAGGTATCATTATGGGATAGCGATCGATAGGAGCGTGGAGGACATAAGTTTTTTTAACCTTTGTAACAGTTTTGACTTTGTATCACCTTTTAGACACTTTTGACAAGCTTATTCTTGACTTATGGATATTTTTGTGTGTTTTGGAGCTATTGGAGGATAACAGGAGCTTCACATAAACTGTAAGAACACAGTAGGCAAGGCATTATTGAAGGAAATAGAACTGATCCGAGGGCCTTGAATTGAACAGTGTGTGAGCTTGTGTTTTTACTTACGAGCCAAATTAAAGCGTTGGAAACTTTA